CGGTGACCGGCGGCGCGGGGAGACGGCGGCGGCCGGCGCGAAGGCGGCGGCGGCAGCCGAAGACGACGGCGCACGCGCGGAGGGCGGCGGCGCTCACGGGGGGAGAGGAAAGGAAGGAGGAAAGGGGATTCCTCACCGAGGCGATGGCGGCGACCGGCGTGGGAAGAGACGAGCGGCGATGACCGGCGACGCGGAGGCACGGACGGGCGGCGGCGACACCCTAGGAGAAGATGGAGAGGCGTTAGGAGAGGAGACGACGACCACGGCGGCTTGAATTGCCGGCCGGAGATGGAGGGGAGGGAAAAACTCACCGGCTCGCGAGGGGAGAGGTGCTCCGGTGGGATTCCGGCGACGCGAGGCGGCGGCCGGGAAAGCTCTTGCGGCGGCGAAGCTAACGGCGGCGGCGGTTTGGCGCGGCGGCGACTCTAGCGGCGGCGGCTCGCGGCCGAAGGCGGCGGCAAGCGGCGGCACTAGCAACAAGCGGCGCGAGCGCGATAGGAGGCACGGGAGAGCGCGGCGAGTGCGAAAAACGAGAGAGGAAGACGCGGGGAGCGATTTATAGGTGCGGGAGGGGGCGGACGTGGCCGGGGAGGTGGCCGATTTGGCCGGCGACGTGGGGAGTGGAGGGAGAGTGAGAGAGGTGGATTCGAAATCGAATCCCGCCCTCTCGAGCGCGCGCGCGGGCCGGGAGATGCGGGGGAAGAGGCGGCGACGTGGGCGCGAGGTGCGGGCGCGGAGAGGGACGGAGAAGGCGGGCGGCGTGGGGAGGTGGGGCGCCGGCGGTTGGGGCTCGGCTCCAACCGGCTAGAGGAGGAAGACGACCGACAGGTGGGCCCCACCTGTCGGCGCCCGAAGGAGAGAGGGAGGGAGGGAGGACTTCGGGGAGGGGAAAGGGGAACGGGCCGGCCCACAAGGGGAGGCCGAGCGCGGGCGACGGGTGGACTGGGCCGACGGCCCAAGAAGAGGAAAAAGGAGGAAACAGGAAAAAGAAAAAGAAAAGAAAGGATTTTCCTGGGATTTAAAAATTGCACTTTGGTGATTTTTAATTGGTTAAAATTATTTCCAAGGCTCTGAAAATTCCACTAAAAATCCTGTTAATATATTGTGACATGTAGAATCCAAGAAAAATTCCACATGCCGATTCTGATTATTATTTGCATTTATTAATTAGGGAATTAGCTCTAGGTTAATTAAGATAATTTCTTCGGACGATTTATTTAGCCAATTTTTAAAGCAAGCAAAAGGGGGGAAACTTCAGGGCGTGACAGCGGTGAAGCCCGGAATGAGAGACCTTGCCTTGCTCTGATACCAATTGAAAGGACCTTAATGTTGCCTAGGGGGGTTGAATAGGCGTTCCTAAAAAATATCACAACTTCAGAGAACTTTCAGTTCAAATAGGAACTTTCGATATGAGATTGGAAGTTCCGGTCTCAACCGAAAAGTTCAGCGGATAATGAAATAAAACACTAGCTATGAACTTGTAGCTCAAATAAACAAAATGTATATGAATCAAAAGGTGACAAATAAGGTATCTAAACAAGATATAAGGTCACCAACTAAATCAATTAAGCATGCAAGTAGATCGGGTAAAAACAAGCTCAAGCACAATATGAGAGAATGCACAAATGGGCAAACTAAGAGAGGAGACGCGTGATTTGTTTTCCGAAGTTCGGATCCACGGATCCTACGTCTCCATTGAGGAGCCACAAGGGCCGGGCCTATTTTAACCCTTTCCTCACGAGGTTGCACAAATGCACTCCTCGGTTTCACTCTTGATTTCTTCCCTTGCGGAGGTGAAATCGAAGCCTTCACAAACTTTCCGTGGCACACCACAACCTTGGGTGCTCACCAGCGACGCCTAGCCGTCTAGGAGACCTTAGTCCCTAAGAGTAACAAACACAATCGAAGATTTACTTGCTATGAACTCGAGTGCTCAAAGTGTGGAGTGAAGCTCACTAGCTCTCAACTTCTCAATCACTCAATCCAACTCTTTCCCCTTCTCAAATCCCTCTCACAAAGAGGCACCACAAAGGATGGAGTGAAGCTCACTAGCTCTCAACTCCTCACTCTCTCAACCCAACTCTTTTCCCTTCTCAAATCCCACTCACAAAGAGGCACCACAAAGGTAGGGAAATGGGGATGGCTATTTGGCTTTGGATGTGTCTAATACTCCCCAAGAGCAGCAGCCACTCAAAGGTGGGGTGGAGGAGTTTATATACCCGAGCCTCTCAAAAACTAGCCGTTGGAGGCCAAGACTGTAATTTTCGGAGTTTCCGAAAATGCTTTTCGAACAAGTCCGAAATCTTACAGAAGCAAATCTCAGATTCGCAGCCATTTTTGGAATGTCCGAAAATTTTTGGAGTTATCCGAAAAATTTTCGGAGTTTACGGTAATTTTTCGGACTTCCCGAAAAGCACAGAGTAAAACGACTATAACTTTTCACCCGGGAGTCCCTTTTTGATGAACTTGGACTCTATGAAAAGCTCACTCAGAGGATTACCCAACTCAACCAAAAAGAAGGTCTAAAACCACTCAAATGATAGGTTAATGCTTGGGTTTCTCTCGAGGTAGTACTATGATAGCTCACTTTGAGCATCGAGGCATACACAAACACCTCGACGTTACATCCCTCTTAATAGTACGGCATTCCTAAACTCAAATGTAAATAAGAAGATAATTATACCATTAGGAATGCCTTTTTTTCATCTTTCTTTCATTGTCTTGAGGGACGCCAATGCCGATACCGTTTCACCATATATTCTTCAAATGATTGATGCGGTTACTTGTAGCTTCAAATGGTCTCGCACGGTCCATCATGACAAAGTCGTCACTCGCCCTTCACCACCGGATTTGGTTCTTCGGTGCCAAGCCCCTTGCTTGCCCTTCACCGCCGCATGGTCCATCGCGACCGAGTATCGCTTGCCCTTCACCGTCTTGCCATAATAGCCACTTCATATCACACATCTTCAATATCTTCACTTTGTCATTCTTGGTATTATTAGGTGTAATTGTATCACTTGAGCATCAACACCTTTGTAATCCTTGGGACCTATTTCTTTCATTCAACTCAATAAAATTATTAGTCCCAATGATCATGTTGTCAACCTCCACATGTTGACCAACCGATCGCATGTATAAAAGGATATGAATAAATGATGAGTATTAATCAACACCATAAGTGTCATATACTCAAATATATGTTCAAATGTAAAGATCCCAATTAAATGAAGGTGAATAACTTGGATCGATTACATGCATAACTAAAGCATAGGATTTGCTCCCCCTAAATGTATGCATACAAAATATTTATGTGAGGCAAGAGTATGCATAATAAGATATTAAACATTAAGAGCTTATCCTATACAAGAATAGAAGGCATTTCTCAAATATAGATATTAAAATAAAAACATACCTTCATCATCTCCACGTTCTCAATGTAAATAGACTAAATAAGAGATAATACTCAAACAAAACATTAGTCTCAAATGCATATGCCAATCACGTTGAAATATTATATACAAACATATCAATATGTACATGAAGAGAAAGAGTGATACATATAGCTTGATCTCCATGCATTTCATCCTTGTGACCAACACTCCACTTTCATATCCACATGAGACTAGGCAAAGAAATGCTTATAAAAACATTAGTCTCACATAATTGGATTTGTCATTAATCATCAAAACCAAATCAATGGCACTTGAACTTTCAATCTTTCCCTTTTTGGTGATTGATGACAAATCCATTAGTAATAATCACATTTGGATATGAAAGGTGAAATTAATGATATAAATCAACATGATATGAGAAATTGACAATTGATTTATATCCATGCATGTGATGCTTGTGCATATGGTGCATGTTGGATGCTATGGTAGATGATGGTATGCTTCTTTTCAAGACATGCACCAAATGAATGTGGGATCCTAGAATATTTTCCCCCTTTATATCAACGATCATATCAAATGTGGGATCCTCAAATATTCTCCCCCTTTTGGCATTAATCACAAAAAGATTTGCATGGAATCAGAAGACCAAAACAAGAACACACATTCACAAGACCAAATAAAATAAAAAAAATTTAGATGAAAGTACAAAGCAAAAATTTGCGAAAAGGTCCATTTAAGAAATGCTTCGCACCTCGCACCATCGCTGTTGTCACTGCTTCGCAGGAGTCGAGTATAGGCACGTGGAGGGTGATTGTGGCGGTCGGGGTCCCTGCAGAGGGGCGGGGGCGGAAGTGGAAGAAGGACGCCGGCGAAGGGGACTCGACGTCGTTGGCGGTGGAGGGGACCTCAAATCCTGTCAGCCGGTTTGTCGCGCGAAGCCCTCGATGCCAGGCCATACATACAGCCTCCTCGGCAGCCTCAGCGGGGCCATCGCGGGCGCGCCGTCTCCCCTGTTAGTGGGGTCCCTGCAGAGGGGCGGGGCCAAAAATGGGAGGAGGACGCCGGTGAAGATGGGCTTGGTGTTGGTGGCGGCAGAGGAAGCCTCAAATCCCGCGGCAAGCGGCGGGCGAGCGCAGCAGCTCTCCTCTCCCCCATCTCACGCCGACGTGGCTGGTCGCCTCCCTCTCGCCGGATCGCCTCGCCCCTATCTGCCGCCGACCGACGGCCTCCTAGGAGAGAAGAGCTGAAGAGAAGAAAAACAAAAGAGATAAGAGAGAAGAGAAGTGGTCTCCTACTTTTTTTAATTTTTTTTGCTGACTATGATGCCACGTCAAAGAAACCACCCATATATACTGCCGTAGGACCTTGTGTGCACGGTTTAGATGAGTTTAGGGTATACATTTCTGGTTTTGTGGTTAAGGGGTCTTAAAAAAATCTCGCTATTAAGTTGAGCGACCTCTGGTGAACTTATTCCTAAAAATATAATAATAATTCCAACCCATACACATAGATGGGCTAGAACTTAGGCCCATGAGAAAACCCTAACCCAGCCCAGCCCAACCCAAGCCCATACTAGTCCAACCTCATCCCCAGTTCGCTCCCCTCCTCACTCCTCAGTCCTCGCCTCGGCTCGGCTCCCTCCCACGCTCCAGCTCCGCCTCCAATGGCGCCTATGGCCATCTCCACCCCGCTCGCCCTCCGCGCCTCCCCGACCCGCCTCCTCTCCCGCAGGTGAGCTCCACGGAACTACAACTTCCACCTCCTTCGCTCGCTCGCTCGCCCCGCGCTTCTCTCTTCATGGATTCCCCCGTTCTTGTCCCCTCACCCTCTGTCTGGTCCTTCTTTCTTCAGGCGGAGCGGAGCCAAATCAGGCGTGGCTCTCCCAGGTGAGATTTCCTAACCCTTGGTTTAGCAAACCATTTCCCTTGGTCAGCTCGTTAGGCCAGGACTGTTTGGTGGAATTTGATCGTTGATTTGATAAGCTTTACTGAGATGTTGTCCATGGTGGTGCACATATTAGAACATGACCATTTGGGCAGCCGTCCCATCAGCTCCTAGTTGTCTTTCTCTGTGCCAATTTTTTATGGAGTCGTCATTGGTAGGTTTTGCAAAGCATATAGAACCTCTGAATGTCGGCATTATCCAAGAGTATGCCGACCTGGGGTTATCTGAACCAGTGTCAACTCCTTCCTGGGCCAATGTCTGGTATGCATCAGCATTAGCTCACTAAGTACACGAAAAATGGATGTGCTTGGTTGAACGGATATGTATAAAAACGATAACCTGCATATAACATATCACCTCAGTTTGGTCTGATTCTGAAATTAGTTTAGGGCCTTTTAGCAAACTGCTGAATGAGATTTCCAGACTGTATATGTGTTATTGTGTTTGTCAGTAACTCAGTATGGTGTATTAGCACAACTCAACATGCCATAATGACAGGATATGCGGAGCACAAACTTTTCTTTGGACATGTTTTTTGGATTCCTTTACTGTTTAGTCCATCTGTCTTTCACATGATATATTGCTGCAAATGTGCTGAGTTGCATTCTCACTCAAATTTCCACACCTAGGTCCACAATTTGTACCACCTGGTATTTCTTCAAAGTTGGACGAGAGGATACATTGTCATTCTTCTCTGAGGTGATATATTTGAAACTGTCATGCCTGATATACAATGAGGATACATTGCCTGATTTGAAACTGCTCATCTAGGTTTTATTTGTGCTGTGTATCAGAATCCTGTTTTATTCATTCGTAATATTGTAAATATTTTTTCACAGGAAAAATACAATTGTAGCATCAGAGAATGAAAATCCACCTTTAATGCCTGCCATAATGACTCCTGCTGGTGCTCTTGATCTGGCAACTGTATTGTTGGGGAACCGCATTATCTTCATTGGTCAATATATTAACTCGCAAGTAGCACAGCGTGTAATATCACAGCTTGTCACACTTGCTGCTGTTGATGAAGAGGCTGATATTCTGGTTAGTGTTTATTTTTGTGTTTTTCAGATCATAACAGTTACCCTATTGTTCACTGCAGCAGCTCTTGATTGCTCAACTTCACTCCCTTGGCTTGCTCCTTTAGCTCACAGGTGTGTTGCTCTATATCTTATAACTCCTTTTGTATAATTCTGTTTTGCCAGATCTACCTGAACTGCCCCGGCGGAAGTCTCTACTCCATCTTAGCAATTTATGATTGCATGTCCTGGGTATGCCATCTATGTTGAGCTACTTTTTCCATGTCCTTCATGCATTCAAATTTCAGAGATTGTATTCACCTATATTTATTCTTGTGGATGCTTTCTGAGTTATTCTCATCTAATTTAATATTTACATTGTTGGATGAGAACACATTATAGATGCATCTCAACATTTTGTATCTTCCACATTATGCATGCCCCTAGCTAGTGAATTTATATTTATAATATAGCACAGATATAGCATTTACAGGAAAGCCTAATGTAATTTAGGCAAAAATTATATCTCATATCAATGGTAGTGCTTGCAACATTTGTATTCTTATATTTTTATTGTAGTACATACTAGACATGAGCATTTGCCATGCTGAGACTGTGCTAATTGGGTTTGGTCTGGTACTGCAGACAACAGATCTCATTTCCTGAAATCATGCCTGTCTCTAAAACTGGCTTTGAGCTGGACCAGCCTTGTTAGTTGTTAGATTTGGCTGTGTTTTTACTTGTTATGCCAGTTTTCCATAACCAAATACTTTATCTACAATTTCGCCTACTGATAAATAAATCCCAGAATATTAATCTTTTTTTGTTGTTCTGCACTAACACATGAACCATTTATTGCAGATCAAGCCCAAAGTTGGAACAGTGTGCTTTGGTGTTGTTGCTAGCCAGGCAGCAATTATACTTGCTGGCGGTGAGAAGGGAATGCGTTATGCCATGCCAAATGCTAGAGTAATGATTCATCAACCTCAAGGTGTATCAGAGGTATGATTCTGGGGCTTTCTGCCTTTCTGAGTTACTGCAGCGGGTGCATTATGATTTTCTAACATTGTGACTACAGTAAATAATAATCATCATCATTTTAGCTGGCCACATGAAACTTACAATATACAGTCTTGCTAGGACATACTTGCTTGCCTTTGTGTTTGTTGTACTTGAAGTTTGTTTTTTATTCTAAAAATTGGATGATTTGCAGGGTAATGTGGAGGAGGTGAGGCGACAGGTTGGGGAAACCATTTATGCTCGTGATGTAAGTGTTTTGTGATAGATAACAAGTTCTATATTTTCTTCAGTGTACATTTGAATTAGATGTTTGATGAGGGTAAGGAATTTCTCTTGATTCTGCTCTCTAAGCGATTAAAGCTTCTGAAAAATCTGGATGCAGAAAGTTGATAAGATGTTTGCTGCTTTTACTGGGCAAACCTTGGATATGGTACAACAGTGGACAGAGAGGGATCGTTTCATGTCTTCATCTGAAGTAACTTTCATCTCTTAAATGTATCAGAAGAAAGTAAATCATCATTTGCCATGTGAATTATAACTTATTTCCCCCTTCTTTTTTTGGTTTTACCCTAGGCCATGGACTTTGGACTAGTTGATGCCCTGCTGGAAACAAGATACTAACAAACAAACACTTAGGCACAGTTTGATTAGCAGAGGCTGGTACAAGGATTGTGAAACTGGAGCTGAAGTTGAGATTTTCGCCGTCCTTCTAGTTCAAGGACTCCAATGACAGGAGGCTGGATCTGCGAGACTTGAATGCATCGCCATCGCTCCTATGAGCAAAACATCTCTGCGTTGAGTGTGATTTTTTGCTCTTCTTTTTTGGATCTGGTTTTACATGCCGCCAGCCTATGGTCTCAATGCATTGGTCCTGCTAATGTTTAGTGTAGACCAGATGATCCTTTAGACAGCAAAACATCAGTTATTACTCCGTAGATTTTCCCATGAGCTGATTCCAGACTGTGTGCAACTTTTGTGTTCCAATTGCAAAGTTTGCAACCCAACCCAACCCAACACATGGGCTGATGGGCTGTTGACAAAGGAGAGATTTTACACTTCACATATGTCAAACTAAATAAATACTCCCCCGTTCCTAAATATAAGAGATTTTGGATAGATGTTGTCGAGGGGTGATCCTCTCTAGCGGGAGATCGTGAGATCCCCTTTTGTGAGTTCGGCCGGGGGAAAAAAACTCGCTTGTCGAGATCGCGTATTCGCCCTGAGTGCTTCTGGATCGCGTACGGCCGCCAAGATTATACAGGTTCGGGCCGCTATGGAGCGTAATACCCTACTCCTGTGTGTGGGATTTATGGTCGAGTGTTACAAAGATTCCTAAACTCTGGAGAGCACTCTCGCTCTTTCCCTCCTAGAGTTCAGGTCTACTGAGCGTCGTCCCTTTTCTCGGTGGGCAAGGTCCTCCTTTTATAGTCTAAGGGGATACTACATGCATCGCTTCTACCTACTTTTTCACGTGAGGGGGACCCACTTTACCTTGACCGGACCACGATCCGTGCCTTCGCCCGGAAGCTAAGCAGCAATCCGTCCTTGAGCGGGACCCAGCGCCGCCCCCCACCTGACACGGGTGACAGCCCTGTCATTCCCTCTTAAATGAATGAAGACTTGTGGCGGTCCTTCTCACGTGGAGGGAGCTCCGGATGATGCTTCGATGGGACGGGACATACCTGCCTCCACCCCGCTGGGTACAGGGGCAAACGTGGGGGCACGGCTGCCCGTCCGATCGGACGTGACCGGCGACAGGCCAGTCACAGTCTGGTCACGCCTGATTGACGTGAGTCAAACGGGCCGCGCCGCATGTTCGCCCTTACCGCATTAAATGCGGTGAGGGACGGTTGGGGTGCCGCGCAATGATGGCTGCCCAGCCTGGGTCTCCTCCTTGCTCGCTCCCCTCGCCACATGGCAGCTGCCTGAGGGCCTCGGGGCGAGGCAGCGCGAGGGTCCGAGGGGTGTGATGTGGCACCCCGAGGCCCCCTGGCTGCCTTTGCGTCTTCCGAGGCGCGGGGGGAGGGCCAGGCTGTAGGGCCACGTGGCTAGATCGGGAGGTAACTCCCCCTCACTTCGCATACCCCCGGACCCATATCACCGACATATGTGACACATCCTATTACTCTTTCCAGATTCATAGTAGCACTAAGACGTGATACATCCCTCCAAAATCTCTTATATTTTTGGGACAGAGGGAGAATAAAAAAAAAAATCTTCCTTTGAGTTTTTGGTGAGATCAAAACTAAAAATTCAAAAAATTCAAATGCTGTTGCAATTGCATGATGATCTTTGTCACACCGATTAGTGGTTCAGTTCAGTATCCTCCAATTCTCCCCAAAAGAAAAAAAAAAAGTTCAGTATCCTCCCACTATCACTCTCTGGCTCTCTACCACTTGTATCACTAGTGGCGTTGTATCGGAAGCGGGGCCCACACGGCCAACCTCACTACGCTACAAAAACCGGAGGAAACCAAACGGAACGGAAAAAAAAAAACCAGCTCATCATCGCCGCGACGCCGCCGCCACCGCCACCGACGCCGCGGCCGCCGCCGGAATGAAGGCCCTCTCCGCCGCCGACAGCGCGGCATCCCCGGCGACAAAGATCACCATCCCGTACTACTCCGCGGCGGCGGGGGCCGGCGAGGCGGGGCCGCCGTTCGGGAAGGGGCGGTACAAGGTGTGGGCCTTGGCGGCCATCGCGCTCCTCGCGCTCTGGTCCATGTCCGCCGCCTCCGCCTCCCTCCGCTGGTCCTCCGGCCGCTTCCTCCTCGCCGCCACCGCCTCCGAGGACCTCGACGCGCCCCTCCTCGACGACCTCGACTCGCTCGTACGCTCGTTACCTCCCACTCCACTCCCCTCTTCTTCCCCTTTTGCTTATTGCCAACTGCTTGCTGCGTGGTCTCGTCTATATGCGCAATGCCTTGTTTGAGTAGGAATTGAATTTGAAACAGTTGTGAATTGCTATCGGTATTGCTTGGAGGTCTCTGAATAAGTGTGTTCTTGTTTTGGCTGTTTGACTGTTGTGTGGGAAAATGCAGGAAAAAATATTTGCACAACTGTCGTCGTAATTAAGTGAGAAAGGTTGTATCTGAATGCAAATGCTACTGTTTTCGTGTTCAAGACCTCACAACATTTTTGTACTAGCTAATCTGGGGCTGTTTACGACAGGGAACTGCGTATCGATGCTACGGGTACATTTGGTTCTTTTGTCTAACTTGCTTAGCTTAGGCTAAAAAAAAAAAGCTTATTTGGACTGTGGCGTGGGAGTAAAGCTAGTTTGTTTGGTCAACTGTCATAACATTTACATAACAAATAGTGATTCAAGAATCAAGATGTGTGAACAGTAATTTATATTCTGATATTAGGTATGATATGTGATACAAGCATATGTAGTTCCTATGGCCCTAGATGTGATTTAGAATAAAATCAGGAGATCGTACTCTTACATAACATATTATAGAGATTAAACCTGAATATGTAGTCGGGCTTGCATGATCTGCAATATAGAAGTCAGCAGTTTTATGACTGCAGCCAACTTTTGGTGATTCGTGTCAGAGATATGGCATGCAGAGCGACATAGTCAAGTACTAAGGTTGATTGGTAACAAAACCGAAGTCTGCATCGAGGTTTGAGGGCTCTGCCATTAGCTAGGGGCACAGATGACAGCTTGGGCTTTTCTCAGGCCATGGCCCATGGATGAGATGGAACATAAGCCATAGGCTGCTAGGAATGCGGTCGATAATGATCACACACCATGGGAGAAGATGATGTTGTGCCTTGGTGTGAAGGTTTTCTTGCCCCAGCTGACTATTTGCCTTTTTATTTGTTTGTAAATGTTTGTTGTCTCACTTGTCAAAGCTAGTTTTTCTCCTGCTGTAGGCAAGGCTTGGAATCCTCTAGCCTAAGATGCAAACATACCTTAAACAGCATTGTTTAACTTTAGTATGTGTGGACCCTAGAGCATGACGTTTTTATGTGTATAAAGCGTGATTATTATTATTTTTTATCTGTATATAGCTTGGATTGAAATCCATTTCTTTTTCTGGAGGTCCGATAAAACTTCCTGCACTATGATTTCCTAGTTATTGAAGAACTATCGTGCTACTCCTTGTATTAATATTTGCAGCAGAAATCTATTCTCAAATTCTTTGTGTAATATAAGCAGCTGAGTTGGTAGGTTATTGTGCGCAGGAAATGGAGGAGAGGGAAAAATTAGTGGGTCGAATGTGGGACATGTACACACGCACCGGTGATGAGGTCCGACTTCCACGATTCTGGCAGGAAGCCTTTGAGGCTGCCTACGAAGAGCTTGCTGGTGATGATATGCAGGTCCGTGATGCAGCCATCTCTGAGATAGCTCGAATGTCAGCCCACAGGCTTGAACTGGAGCAGCCAGTGAATGAGGTATGATGATGCCAGAATTCATTGCTGGCCAATCCCTCTTCTTATGTACTTAAACACGATGTATACTTTTATTTGCACTCGAGACACACCTAGTTGATTCATAAATTTATCCAACGTAAACAGATAATGATAATTTGAACACAAGGTGTTCTCATTCATGAGAGATTCTGGCTTAAATGATCTGGGCAAGTATCAAACTGTTTACATTTGCATTTAATAAATCTGATGGCTTTGAACTTTTAAATCTATAACTGTTCTGAACAACGCCTTCCAAAAATCATGCTGCAAAACTACAATTTTTTAGGATTTAAGGTGATGAATATTCCCTAAGCATATTTAAAAATTTTGTATTAAATTTCATCAATAATCCCTCATAGCTTTTGGTCTAATTCACGTCTTGCAGTGTAAATTGTATACACTGTGCTTTACACAACAAACATATAATTAGTTCAATAGAAGAACAGTAAGCAAATTTAATAGAATGAATCTGTCGGCAGACTTGAATTATCCTTGGAGCTGAACAAATTATGTAGCAAGATACAAACAACTGAAACAAGCTTCCAGAAACAATGGCATAATGATTTAGTTTCTAGAGAACGATCCATTTTGCTGCCAAATTTCAGTGAATCTTATATTGTTGCTAATATGAATTTAGCCACTTGATCTATTTGATGTTTAGGTTTGATTTCCTTATTCCCAATTAACATTTTGCAGGAAGAAAAGACTAGAAGTAATGAACATGGTAGTCCAAAGTTGAAGAAGTAATGTTTTATAGTTAAACCTGACGATCCATTGCAGACATCTTGCGCCGTCACTCCCGTCAGCTAGTGCAGAATTGGGAGCTCCCTTGTAGTAGTATTACAGGCATTCAATCTATTTGTGCCATCTAGTGCAAAAATTGCGTCTCTTGCCCTCTGTAACGCTATTTTATCTTGGTACGTGGGTAAGCAAAAGCTTGCCGTGATAAAATACAGCGAATTATTTTATTATCATGCTGCGCTTTAGCGGGTTTCGATCTAAATATAAAACTACAGCTACTTGCTCTATACAGGAAGTTGGGTTTGGCTGTTTGAGTTCCTGTTGTCAACCTTAGAAAACTTTAGCTGTTAATATGTGTAAACGTGTATGGATTGTAAAGGGTTCAGAACATCCTTTTATTCTAAAGGTCCCAAGAACAGGAAAAAACCGACCTGTATGTTTGTTCCAGTAGTCTACCTAGAAACAAACTGTAATATACTCCCTCTGCCCTAAATAAATATTTGACGCCGTTGGCTTATTTAAACATGTTTGACCGTTCATCTTATTCAAAAACTTTTGTGAATATTATTCAAAAACTTGAGTAGTAATAGTATATTTAACAATGAATCAAATGATAGGAAAAAATTAATAATTACTTGAATTTTTTTATTTTTTTAATAAGACGAACGATCAAATATGTTTAAAAAAAAGTCAACGGTGTCAAATATTTAGGGACGGGGGGAGTAGAAAGTAAGAGCGAGAGACACAGAGAGAAACTTTTGACGTTTCTCAAACCAACTTTGATCATCAATTTTTTAAAAAATGCTTAGTTTAAAAACAGGAAAATAGTATCATAATATCATTGACTCACTAGATTTCATAAATTTATTCTACTACGTAATATAAAGTTGAAGGTCCAAGTTACACGTAAAACATTTTATATGTGTATACACAGAAATATTTTTCCTTTGAAAATTTTGTTTAAAGTTGCACTAAAACCGTTCTAACTAACCCAATTTTTTTCTACCATCAATTTTTATACAACCTTTCAAAACTTAAAGTACTGAAAACTAAATTTCGTATTTTTTTGGAATTTCTAATAACTTGTTTCAGACTGAGGGCTAAATCGTATGTTCAAATGACGTTGACTACCAAAAGTGGAATGAATGATAACGAAATAGTGATAAAATAGAGGAGCGCAAAGTTTCAAGGGTGGCAAAGCCCCTCACTCCCTAGCACGCAAAACAAAGCAGCGCTAGTGCATGATTAATTAAGTATTAACTAAAATAAATTTAAAAAATAGATTAATATGATTTTTTTAAGTAACTTTCATTTAGAAATTTTTTTTAAAAAAGGCACCGTTTTAGCAATTTTAAAAGCGTGCGCGTGGAAAAATAGAGATATGAGTTGGGAAAGTGGAGATAAGAACTCAGCCTAAAACAGAATACGGTCTCATCGAGTAAAAAAAATAGAGAGAGAATTTTACTTAGTTTTAAAAGTTTAATAAAATGATATTCTAAGTCTCAAATATTTATAATGAGGGAGGGAGTAATCCCTAAAAACACAAGGTTAAAGGTGGAGAGAGAAACAGGTCATCTAACTTTATGGAGCTGTGCTACTTATATGTGGGCTCCACTTTACTTTCATCTACATGTTAGTGGCACAACTGCAAACTGCAAAGAGTCACAAGCCTCATCCGGTGGAGGTTGGGTATTCATAGGGATGAAACTGGTATAAATACTTTCCGTCCATTCGGACTATTTTTTCGGAGTCGGATAGGTTCGGTTGGATAGTTCTAAATATTTTCGGATTCGGAAACAAATTTAGATTTTTTTAAATAAAAATGAATAAATTAAGAAACTATCCAAGATTTTTTTTTATATTCGCGGACAGGGATCAATTTTTAGGGAAAATACACACATATATATATATATATATATATATACATAATTTTTGCATACGAACTCAGATGAAGAAAAACTGTATATCAAAATTATAAAACTCGGTGAGATCTACAGTTTTGTTTATTGACAATTTTATTATTTGTGATCATTTAGGGGTCTAAATATTTATTACAAAATACTATTTATGTTTTTACAAAAATCTCAAATCTGCAATTCTTCGAACGATATCCGATGGAGACGCAGGTAGGGGTGAAAACAGAGCGGATTCGGACGGATAGTGGCCATACCATATCCTAAACCATATTTTTTGAGCGGATTCGAAGCGGGTGCGGATAGTGTACGAATGCGGATGCGGAGCGGATTGTTTTGGATGTCGGAAATGGTGCGGGGTCGGTGCGGAATCGGTTCGGAAACGGATTAAATTTATCGGATGTTACGTGTATATACAATCAATGCAACATCGAGTTATTAATCCAAGGAACAATAATATAATAATCAATAAATGACCCGTCGTAATAATTATATGATTAAGTGCTAAACAACATGAACACATGATGTCCATAATATAAAAAAATATAGCTAGTGAGTGTGACATGAGACGATAAAAGCCTTAGACTAAAAAATCTTTGTTAATTGATGAATTAGGGTATTGGATATACCAACTTATGTTATATGCAATAGATAGAGTGTTATATATGTTGATAATTTCATATTATCCAGCAAACGGCTTATCGGATAATTTGACAACAATGTCGGATAATCCACATCTACCGGATTTTAGATATACCATATCCGCATCCGCTTTATACTATCCGCATCCGTATCCGTATCTGCCGGATTTCTAAAATCCCATACCATATCCTCGTTTCGGACGAATTCGGAGCGGATTGGATCAGATATTATCCAATCCGTTTTCACCCCTAGACGCAGGAGCAGCCGGAAGGGCAGGCGCGGGAGGATGTTGCACTCGATAAGGTCGTCGGAGAGTTGCGGAAAAAAAAATCTCCATCGAAACTGATACGAAAGTACGAAACGATGCTTTGTCATCTCTTCGGGTCGGGAGATTCGCTTGCGTATGTTTTGGATCGCAATGGACATGTAGAAGTGGAAACGGTTTCGCTAAATCATATCGGCCCGGCGGTCCTGATGTTTGGATCGACTAAATATTCGATGAGGGATGAGGAATATGGTGTGCACGGTCGGATCTTGATCCAAGGGTCAGAAAATTTATACTATGATCATTCACATAACATGCAAGGGATGAGCGCATGTACGCTTAATATAAGTTGCAAATTGACTTTACCAACTTTCTCTATTTGAAAGTTTTAAATTTTGAGTTAAAAGTTTCAAAATTTGAGTTACAACATTTTATATAACCGGCCCGATAACCGTAGGCCACCCAGATCACATTGAACCTGCTCCACCACATATAAGTTGCAAATTGACTTTACCAACTTTCTCTATTTGAAAGTTTTAAATTTTGAGTTAAAAGTTTCAAAATTTGAGTTACAACATGTTATATAACCGGCCCGATAACCGTAGGCCACCCAGGTCACATTGAACCTGCTCCACCACAGGGAGCCACAACTTTAGGTTCTGGGCCTACACAACCCAAAAGACTAGTCTGATGAGTGAGGACCGCCCCCACCTTTTAAGTCGTGCTCCCCCATCATCAATTACCAATGTGGGACTAAACCCAACAATCTCCCCATTACATCAATTACCACCATCATCAATTACCGATGTGGGACTAAACACAACAATCTCCCCATTACATCAACCTATGTGACCCCGAAGACTTGTTACCTGGTCTCTCCACCATGTGACCCGGGTTCCACCTTTTAAGTCGTCACATCAACCTATGTGACCCCGGAGACTTGTTACCTGGCCTCTCTACCATGTGACCCATGGAAATTGTTCCGGGTTCCAAACCTTGGGCTCTGATACCCACTTGTTAGAGTGCGCAGCCCGGCCCACCAACCGTGGGCCACAACTTTAGATTCTGGGCCTACACAACCCAAAAGATTAGTCTGATGGGTGAGGACCGCCTCCACCTTTTAAGTCGTGGTCCCCCATCATCAATTACCGATGTGGGACTAAACCCAACACAAAATTCAAGTTTTCAGTGGAAAGTTTATTGCTTTTTTCAAATTTGAATTGAAACTTTGAGTTGAAAACTCATATTAAAAAGTTTTACTCAAATCTGAAAATGTCTTTTAAAATATCAAAATTAACCCAAAAACAATTTTCAATCTAATATAAATCACTTAATAGAAAAAAAAACTTACAAACGATGGTATGTTTGAGGAAACAAGCCAGTACCACTACACACGCCTGCTCGCATACGGCGGTCTCCTTGGGAGGAGGCCGTCCTATGGCATGAGCATAGTGTGTGGCGAGACATGCGAAGAGAGGAGGCGTCCCACGAAGAGAATTGCTAGAATCAGCAGCAGGAGAAAGGAAGGAGGTCGTCGTCGCCGTCGCTGACCGAGCAGCAGCTGATTCTTGCCATAGCTGGATCCAATGGGGGAGCCAACAAATGTGGGAAGCCCCGCCGCCGCCGAGCTCCTCCCGTCGCACCAAACCCCGTAGCTGTCACCGTCGGATTTGCCAGTGGAGCCACCGAATTTGGGAATCACAGTCACCGGCGAGGAGGTGTTGGCGGCGAGACCGTGGGAGGGAGAGGGGGAGGAGGAGGAGAAGGAGAAGAAGAGCCCGCCTCCTGTCGCCGTCGCCGCCGTGCATCGCTACCGGAGCCACCGCCGCCACCTGAGAACCGCCACCGGAGCCGCCGCCTGTTGGGAGGGAGGAGGAGAGGGTGCTGATGGAGGAGGAGGAGGGTAAGTGGTGGAGCGGTGGGTGGATGAGGAGTGGTGGGTGGCGTTTTTTTTAATGGGCGGTGATTTTTCTACTGTGCGTGAATTTTTTCAAGGGTGTCGCTCTTTAGTGCGTGCTGGCGGTGAGCTAAGTGGCCCGTCAATAAAAATAGGGTTATTTTTTGCAAGCGGGCTTCTTAAGCAACCAGTAGCGAAAATCAGCGAAAATGGATTTTCGCTAGTGGTCCTGAACCCTCCACCCCTTGTTAAAATTCCGCAGGTGGATTTCTCATATGACCGTCAAGGAAAACCCTTTTTCTAGTAGTGTGGTCGAAGAAGACGTTGTGGAACTCGTAGATCGCCGGGAAGAGATTTGCGCATGTTGCATGGTGAAGGCGGGGGTCATGGAGGATGAGGTCGCGCCAGGACCTACAGAAGATGGCGAGGCACATGAGCACCGAGAAGGCAGGCACGAGAGGATGTTGAACTAGATGACGTCGTTGAGGAGTTGTGCCAGCGGCGGCATCGTGACTGCTGCTACGTCTAACTCCATCTAATCTACTACTCCCTCTGTCCTAAAAATATAAGAACTGATGATTAAATGAGACACATCTTAAAACTACGAATATGGATAAGTAGCATTCATAAGCCTAGGATGTGTCATATCCCATCCTAGATTCTTATATTTTAAGACGGGGGGAGTAATTTAAGATGGATGCAATGCATCTAGCCATCTACTATATACTGATCTGCATATGTACGTGTGCCTTTCTGGAATGGTATACATTTCATACTAGGTTAACTTATTTTGAAATGAATGGAGTATTTGGGATGCGGTGTGAGAAAGATCTCAAATCTCAATCACCTAGCTATCCCATTAGCATCCAAACACGCATGAAAACTATTCTAACCCATTTGAAATTCCACATTGGAGGAGCATATTAGCAGCAGCACAGAAAACATGACATCTCATTAGCGCCTGATTAATTGAATATTAATTATCATAAATTATAAAAATAAATTTATTTGATTTTTAAAAAAATTCTATATAGAAAATTTTTACACAAAACGTACATAAACGTGCTAACGGAGAAAGTTATACTTTTGGAGTAGTAGTCATCGACGCCTGTCGAAACTCGGTCGATCGATCGAAAGAGAAATATGCAAAGCCTGAGCCTTAAACTGACCAAAAAGTCGGGCCCAAGCTTGGCAAGCCTGGCACTTCTTCGGGCTGTTTTTTCTTTTAAAAAAAAATATATTTTTCCAACTTTTCTCAAGCTTGTTTGATTTTTTTTCCCGGCTTTTTAGGCAGCAAAAGAGCCTTGCCTGGTTCTTGGGCCGACCCGAGCTGACTGGGCCAACCGCCAAAGGCGAGCAAACAGGTTTCTTAGCTTGGCCAGATCGATTTCGTAGTTTTAACACAGTACTATCAGCTCAGCAAAGGGGAAAGTTTGACATATTTGCATTCGATTTTCTTCTCATGTGTGGCTCTCAAGTGTTTGACAATCTGCATTCGAACTTAAATTTTGGTCAATTTCTTACCCCCAAAATCCATGGAAACAAAAACAATGGTGCCCCAGCGTTGATGATATATTCAAAGCTATAAATAATCCTGAAACTTTGGTTGGAGTGGCACAAACTTTACACATGCTAATTTCACGACGAACTTACTACACACACACATTCCTGCAAGAACCAACAAACGTCCGAAATCATGAGCGGCATCAGGTGTCCCAGATCATGACGACGGCGATGACGGCGACGCCGAGGACGACGGCGAGCAGCCTCCCCGCCGGCGTGTCGGCGGCGACGGGCCTCAGCGGGGTGTAGCCCTTGGAGAGGAGGTGGTTGATGGAGACGTAGATGAAGATGCCGGTGGCGAGGCCCATGGAGACGGCGAAGATCCAGTCGGCCACCCGGCCCTGCGTGGTGGCGTCGATGACGATGCCGATGCCGACGCCGACGGGGCTGGAGACGGCGAAGGCGAAGGCGTAGCCGAAGCAGGAGAGGAACGGCCGGTCCGGCAGCATCCGGAGCAGCGCGATGCCCATGGCGATGGCCGCGAAGATCTTGTGCAGGCTGATCGTCCACAGCGCCTTCCATGCGTCAGCCTTCGTCTCTGCACGCTAGTTGTTGTGAGTAGCTGATTCTGATTTTCCAGCAGTCGAAACTCAAACAGCCACTGTCAGTCAATCTGCATCCATCTTTAAATGGACTACGGTGATCCATGAATTCATGATTTGAATGGTTTGGTAAAGCTTGCTGAGATCGATGCAAACTAAAATGTTGTCGAAATGGATGTTGATGAAAGGGAAATTCAGGTCAGAGCATCTATTCTACTAGACTGGAACGAGTAAAAGTATGCGTGACAATGAGTGAACAGAAACATTGATTGCGATAAACGGCGATAAGACGTGAACCCAAGATAAAATAAAAATAAAATAAAAATGAAGGGTTCGGGGTGATTATTCTGCCTATGTTTGGCTTTGAATATAAGCCGAGTCCTAGGACTTTTTTCATTTATTCTGGCTATCTTCAACATGCGCACGGAGCTTTCGCTATGAGAAAATAGTGAAGCACTTGTGCAATTTTGACCGAGAAAACAACGCACGATTCCAATTTGTCCTAATCAGTTAGCAGCGGCATCGATCTATCAGACTTTCACAAGAAACAAGCTAGGAAGAAACCCCGGGCTTAAATGATACTTTCAAGCATTTTTTTTTCACGAACGCGCAAAAGCTCTGCCCGTCAATACTTCCATATGTCGTGTTTATACGTGATCATCTGTTCACTTATAATTTAAAAAAAAGGACAGATTCACCTACTCCTATAGACACCTGAACTACCATTAACTATTAACCATATGAACTCGTTCTTCATATAAAAAGTCACATGAAGACATATGTACGGGCCATTTAAATTCCAAGCTGAAAGCGAGTGTTAATTAAGTCGAGCAGGCAGGGACAACCGGACAAGAGACTAACGGACAAGGTCACGAGGTCTCTCTATATATATACTCTCTCCGTCATGCCGTTGACTTTTTTAAACATGTTTGACCGTTCATCTTATTCAGAAAATTTAAGTAATTTTTAATTCTTTTCGTATCATTTGATTCATTGTTAAATATATTTTTATGTATACATATAGTTTTACATATTTCACAAAAAGTTTTTAATAAGACGAACGTCAAATATGTTTAAAAGAATCAACGGAGGGAGTATATCCATGCGTGTCTATGTCAAAAAAATAATAATAATCTTACCGGCGACTCCGATGGCGATGCCCTCGAAGACGGAGTGGAAGCAGAGCGCGGCGATGAGCAGCACGCTGTCGCCGAGCGTGCTCGCGTTCCGCAGCATCGACGCCACGGAGTGGTCTTGCGCCGCCGCATCCTGCACAAACACAAGTTGAGACTTCACAGCCTTCTTCCATTTGGAAACCAAACGCAACAACCTGCGCTGTTGCTGCGCAGGATAAATTACTCGAGTTCATAAGGAAAGGTGCTTACAGCTGCTGGTGGGTCAGAGGCGTTGCCATTTGTGCTGCTCAGCTTACCCTCCTCCAGCCCTGACAGGCAGATAATCCAATGCTTAATTAGATAATGCGAGCAGCAAAAATACTTCTCTTTTGGCCATTTGAGCAGCAGGCTAAACAAAATAACTTATGAGTAGGACAGTAATTAAGAGGAACTATGCAGTACAGGCAATAACCACCACCTACTATATATGCTTTCATTCAGATAAGATCATAGGAAAATGGTAGTAGCACCAAGGTGTTCCTATCGATTCAGACAGACACAAAAAAAATATAAAGTAACTAACTAAGCACCACAATTGAATTGATCTGCTAACTGATTTGCAAACGGAGTAGAGTACAAGCCACACCAACAAAAAGATGAACAACCAAACAAATCAGTTCCTATCTCGCTGAAAGCATCAGGGTAGGGTAGGTCACACAAACTCACAAGATTTTGATCAGGTAGTAGTAAAACTGTAAAACAAGAGGAGTAAATTTGGCCCATTTCGCTGACCAGTCCAACCAATAATAGCAACCAATCAATCGGTGTGGTATTATGTACTAACGCAGCAATAAAGGAAAAAGTCGCATCTAATCCAACGGCCATCCGCCACCTTTCCACCGCGAGCTCACGATATCTCTACTGTGAAAAAAACAGAGTCGGACAAGCACGTGAAAACCCTAGTAGGCTGCTCACCTGCACCGGCGGCGGCGGCGGGTTCGGTCCGGCCGCCGCCGCGGGCGACGACGAAGGAGATGGCGCAGTCGGCGAGCATGGTGAGGACGTAGCCGGCGCAGGCGAGCATGAACGCGAAGGGGTAGGCGGTGCCGGGGAGGAGGTCGGCGAAAGTCTCGTTGGCGTCGGCGAGGAAGTGCATCATGGCGGTGCCGAGGAAGACTCCCCCCGCGAACTGCGTGCCCAGCGCCAGGAACGCATCGTTCCACCGCATGAAGTAGGGGGACACGCCGCCGGCCAGCGTCCCGGCGAACACCACCGCCAAGCACCACAGCTTCGCCGCCACCAGCCCCCGCGCCCGCAGGTCCGGCTTCCCCTCGCCGCCGCCGTCGGCGTCGGCGTCAGAATCGCCCCCGCCGCCGCCACCGCCATGCGCCCACGCGGTGGTCGCGAAGGCGCAGAGCCAGGCGAGGTGGAGGTGGAGGCTGGCGCGGGCTCCCCTGCCTCCCGCCATGGACGCAGGTGTGGTGTTCGACCGATGACGGGTGCGCCAAATGGTGGGGAAACGCGATTCGGGTGAGGCCGTTTTTATACGGAAGGCGGGAGAAGACTGACGTGGGGGCCCATCTGTCACTGATAATTACTACCTCCGTTCTAGAAAGACAGTTTATATCCGATCATCCATCTTATTTGAAAAACTTTTATGATTAATATTTTTATTGTTATTATATGATAAAATATAAATGTTACTTTATGTGTGACTATTTTTTATTTTTTTTATAATTTTTTTTAAGATAGTCAAACGTTGGATATAGAAACACACGACTGCATTTAAAATGATTTTAGATAGTAAAATGATAGTTGGCCTCTTCGTTTATGTACTTTGTACTGCGGGTTGGCTCGCGGGGTTAAGATTACTCGTGCCACGTCGGCTACTCTGGCAGACAGGTGGGTCCATGTCGGGTGGGGTATGGTTGCAGCGGGTAGGCGAGGTTGTACTAGGAGTAGTACTACTGGTCGGGTTGTACGAGCGCTGACGGCGTGAGAAGCGGGAGGGAGTAGTACGACAGCGACGGCGTTTGGAAAGTCCGTTACGGAATGTCCACGTTCCCGACGACTTGGCCTTGACTTGTACGCTGCGCAATCATCGTGCCCTCACCACCGTTCGATCCAAATTTCAGGAATTTACCAGTTCCAAAAAATAAAAAAAAACAAGGAATGCTATAGACTAAGTCAACGGTTTTTGCTAGTTAACCTCCATTAACCAGTTGCTCCATTGCACTTTTGTGCAAGTTACATAATAATTAGATAGTAGTTACATAATAGTTATAATATAATTACACTATATTTGAAAGTTTTTTTATAAAAACTGTTGACCACTAATGTAAACAGAGCCAAGCATCAGGTCTGAAAGGCACATGAAAAGAAAAAATGAAGATGCGATAATATGTGAAGCACCCAAGTTAAAGCAAGCACATTGTAACGGTCGAAGATACCAATATAGGAACTGCAAAGGCTAGAAGGTCCATTTTCAGCCTCAAAATCCACCGAGCTCTACATGAACAGACATATGAATGATCTGACAACGGACCAAAGCACGTCATTGTTGCCTGTTGGTTGCTACAAATCTATTCCCTCCGTTCCAAAAATATAAGCATGTTTAGCATAGTGATAAGTCAAATATTTTTAACTTTGACTATTAATAACAAAAAAAAAATCAATCATGTAAAATTGGTGTTACTAGATTTATTATTAAATAAACTATTATAATATGCAACTCTTTTTATTTAAAACATTTTACTTTTATAAATATTGCTGGTCAAAGTAGCATCTTGAATACTGTATCAGGATTTAAAAATACTTATATTTTTGGACGAGTAGATTGCCGGGTGACTTGTCATGACATCCAAAGAATGAAAATTAGAACCACAAATCCACGGTAGGCAGCAATGAACGACGGCGTCCGCGGCCATTGGCTCGGCGGTGCCGTCCCCAGCACAGTCGCCGGCCGCCGGCAGCTACGTCGTCGGCCGGCCCAACGCTTTCTTACAATCGCCCAGCTTGACCCTTTCCTGGCTAAGAACTAGGTGCTGATGGTTCGCCCCCTGTACGTCCAGCAACCAACAAGCAACAATGAGGTCAGATGAACAACCAACAACCATGACTTGGTGCTGTTACACTTGTAGCATCTGAGATGCCCCTCCTAAAATCTATAGAATCTTATATGTCTATAGATATCCACTACAACATGATCAGCAGTATCTGAACTTTAAGAGGATGGGGCTGACTATTGGTCAGGTGAAAGAATCAGAATTTGCTGAGTATCACTTTCATATTTGTCATTGACCTCATTTTGCTGAATAGAATCATCACCACGAATCCACGATCTGTTCCAACTCTAGCCGAACTGGAAATTAAACAAAATTAGTGGTGCTCCATCAGAAACTATTTTCCTAATTGCACATACCCAACAAAATTGACAAGCAAACAATCTCAAAGACCAGCAAGTAGCAAACTGCCATATGCATGGAGGCTAATTTAACTTCTCAGAAGACAAACTTGGTTGCAAGTGTAGCAAGGGAGCAGAGACTAAACATTTCTCCCAAGAGAAGAAGGTAACCAATATCAAACAAAAGCACACCAAATCAGTACCCCAAAATTCAGTGCGCCAGTACAGTTAAGAAACAAAAGAAAAAAGATAGGGATGTATGTGGTTTGAAATTTTGATGCCTCTAATTAGTTAGCTGCCGGAACAGTGAAGACCTTGGGTATACCAAATCCAATATCACATTGTAGCGCAGAGAAAATATAAAATGGATACAGACTTTGGAAATTAATTCCAGCCACCAAAGTAACAATCATATTGAACAGTCATATTCCAACCTGGCTTCATTTATCAGCTTTATTAATTTACTGCAGAGATTTAACAATTATATTGAGGGGTACGCTCTGGTGCATTCTACTTGCAGTATTCTACTACAAGTAGAATGAATCTCGATCGTTTATTTTAAAGGGTAGATCGAACATTATGAACCAGGGCACAGGGGTGCCATGGCGAGTACAAGACAAGAATGTTAGTGAAGTACTATTAATCAGGACAGCTGAGACAGAGAAGTGCATAGCAGAACAGAATCATGGTGATTATTTGAGAGGAGTAACTGATACTACTTCACAGACAGGAGAGTCAACAGATAACTTCTCAATCCACACAAAGTCGACAGAAAAATATTAATTGAATTGATACTTGAATTAGAAAGAATTGATTAGTTAAAATATTGCATACTTACCGCTGGTTTGCACGTTACTCTCGGTATAAATGAAATCAACATCACAAAATTGTCTCAGAGCCCTCATGTGTGGGAATTTCATTCCGGAAGTTCATCTCCCTCACCTGCATGGCAGCATAAGCAAAGTGTAACACTACGCCACCGCGAAACTCGCCGCCGACGAGAGAGAGAGATATTTAGACGAGATCGGAGTTGGGGACGAAGAGAAACAGAGCTGAGGCAGAGGAGAGACAGAGTTTGGAGAGAGATAGATTCGATTTCTTTTTGCCAGGTTGGCCACAGCCATTCTCTCTCTCGAGTATTTATCTCCTGATTACATGGACCGTTGGCCCAAACGATTTAAGGCACGCAGGCCACATTCTATTTGATAAAGTTTAGCCCAAAACACACACACTATCATTCACAGTTAAACCTCTTTCTCAGTGTCACCATTGCCGGTCATGACAGTGCCGCCCGCAGGAGTTTTAGCTTGTCCCCAAGCTGGAGCATCTGGAAAGCGAGTCTTCACAACATGATAGTCCTCCCAAGTAGCATGATCTGCTGGTAATAAAGACCATTTCAGCAACACCTGGACATGAGCTGCATTGCCGCGCTTCACTAGTCGACGCTCCAAAATCGCCTCAGGAACAACGTCAGCAGCATCAAGAACCACTGGGGATGGCAAAGAAGTATAAACAGGAGTATGATCTGGCACCTGAGCTTTGAGTTGAGAAACATGAAACACCGGATGCACAGTGCTGCTGGCAGGTAGATCCAAACGATAAGCCGCCACTCCAATGCGCTCCAAAACAGTAAAAGGGCCAAAGAACTTATAAGCCAACTTAGGATATGGTCTATTAACTACTGAGGACTGAGCATAAGGCTGTAACTTCAAGAAAACAGCATCACCCACAGCAAAAACACGGTCAGAACGACCTTTATCAGCCTTGTTCTTCATACGCAGCTGGGCTCGAGTTAACTGCTGCTGTAAAAATTCAGACAAGTGCTGCCTTTCAGTCTAAACATCCACCACATCAGGCAGAGTAGCCAATGTCAGATCAGGAACTTGAGAATAATGAGGATCCACCCCAAAAAGAGCCTTATGAGGAGAACAGCCAAGAGATGTATGATAATTTGTATTGCACCAAAATTCTGCCAAATGAATCCAATGGCTCCACTTCTTAGGGTTAGCCTGAGTCATGCATCGTAAATACATTTCCAAACATTGATTGACACGCTCTGTTTGGCTATCTGTTTGCGGGTGATATGCTGTGCTCATCTGTAATTGAGTGTCCCAAGTAGCAAAAAGAGTTGTCCAGAACTTGCTAGTAAAGAGATGATCACGATCAGACACAATAGAACGAGGGATGCCATGAGTTTTAAATACAGTTTTGTCCACCAAATGAGCCACTTGTGATGCAGTGAATGGATGACGCAAAGGAATGAAATTCGCATACTTAGTAAAACGATCCACCACCACCAAAATTGCATTATAACCATCAGAGCGCGGTAAACCTTCAATAAAATCCATGGAGATGTCCTGCCAGGCCTCTTTTGGAATTGGGAGAGGAGCTAACAGTCCAGGAAGCTGACAGTGTTCATGTTTGGCCTGTTGGCAAACCTGACATTGCTTCACAAAATTTTCAACATCCAACTTGAGACCAGGCCAAGCAAATAATTTCTTAATCCGATGATAAGTAGCAGCAATCCCAGAATGGCCACCAAGTGCAGAAGCATGAAAAGCTTGAATCAACTTAGTATGCAGTCCTGCATTGGATCCAATCCAAATCTTATTCTGGAATCTAATAATCCCTTGTGTCAATGAATACCCTTGAGAATTAGGAGAATGCACAGCCAACTCAGCTAGTAGCTGCTGAGCTTGAGGATCCACTGTATAAGAATTGATCACCTCCTGAATCCAGATCGGTTGGACCACAGAAAGAGCACAAAATTGAGAGGAGGAAGGCATTCTAGATAAAGCATCAGCAACAATATTATCAACCCCTCTCTTGTATTGAAAAGAATATTGCAAACCCATCAATTTAGTCATTGCCTTTTGCTGTAATTCAGTCCCCAATATTTGATCATCCAAATGACACAAGCTTTTGTGATCTGTTTTAATGATAAATGGACCTCTCTGCAGATAACATCTCCACTTATCCACAGCCATCATAATAGCTAGAAACTCTTTTTCGTAAATGGACAATTTCTGATTAACAGGACCCAAAGTTTTGCTATAATAAGCAATAGGGTGACCTTGCTAACTTAAAACAGCACCAAGACCATAAGCACATGCATCAGTCTCCAAAGTAAAAGGAAGCTGAAAATTGGGCAAAGCTAACACTGGAGTGTTACTCATAGCTGTCTTCAACTGATCAAAAGCAAGCTAAGCAGCATCAGTCCAAAGAAAGGCCTTCTTCTTCAACAAGAGTGTCAATGGTCATGCTATGATACTATAACCCTGAACAAATTTTCTGTAATAGCCTGTCAGTCCCAAAAATCCCCTCAATTCAGTAACAGAAGTAGGCACAGGCCAAGCCAGCATTGCTGCTGTCTTCTCAGGATCAGTACTAACTCCTTTGTCAGAAATGATATGTCCTAAGTATTCCAGTTGAGTGCAAGCAAAAGAGCATTTAGACCTCTTAGCAAATAACTGGTGCTGCCTCAAAATAACAAAAACTTGCTGAAGATGATGCAAATGACTATCAAGGTCAGGGCTATAAACTAAGATATCGTCCATAAACACCAACACAAACTTCCTGATAAATAGTGCAAAGACTGAGTTCATAAGGCACTAAAAGGTGGAGGGTGCATTCGTGAGACCAAATGGCATAACCCTAAACTGAAATTGCCCATGATGTGTCTTAAAGGCTGTCTTGGCTTCATCAGTTTCCACCATTCGAATTTGATGATACCCAGCTTTCAAGTCCAGTTTAGAGAAGAATTTAGTACCTGAGAGCTCATCCAATAATTCATCAACAACCGGCATAGGAAACTTACTTTTAATGGTGAGAGCATTTAATCTTCTGTAATCCACACAAAAACGCCAACTACCATCCTTTTTCTTGACAAGTAAAACAGGTGATGTATAGGGACTCATACTAGGTGTAATTAAACCAGCATCAATCATTTCTTTCACCTGTTTCTCAATCTCGTCTTTTTGTAACGGAGAATAGCGATAAGGTCTGCAGTTGACAGGAGTAGCATCAGGTACTAGAGAAATAGCATGATCAAAAACCCTGTGTGGGGGAAGACACTTAGGATCGTGAAAGACATCGTCAAAGTCAGTTAACAATTGTTGCACCGAAGAAGGAATCACATGCTAGACATCATCCTGGGAATGTTCCAACAAAGCAGCAGCCCATATTTCACAACCCTTATGCCATTTCAAAAGTTGTGGCAGAGTGACAGCAGCAATTTCAGAAGGGACTGCAGCATCTTGTACTCCTTGAAGAGAAATCCAAGACCCTTGATACTGAAACTTGAGTGTTTTATTAGCCCAATGACAAGACATTTCCCCCCATTGCTCAAGCCAGTCCATACCCAAGATGGCATCGTGACCCTCCAAAGTGACCACCCTCATGTCATAAGTAAATGTGTGCCCCTGAATCCACCAAGAAAAACTAGGAACCACATACTGACAAGGTAAGCAATCACCATTAGCAACTTTCACCAGAGTAGAAGGAATTGGTTTTAGAGGTAAACCCAGCATATGTGCAAAGTTGTAATCAATAAAGCTGTGAGAGCTGCCAGAATCCACCAAAAGTAACAAGACTTTACTGTGAACCAATGCTCTCAAATGAATAGCAGTAGGAAGGTGAGCTCCTGTAAATGCATTCAGAGAAATATGACAGTCCTCCTCATCATCAGATTGTTCTGCAGCAATAACAGCATCCAATATGTCATCAGTGAGCACCTCTTCCAACTTCATAGCTTTGATTTGGCCTCCAACAGCACAACGATGTTCAGGAGTATATTTGTCACCACACTTAAAACAAAGACCCTGAGCACGTCGATAGTCTTTCAACTGCTTAGCCTTCCATAGATCCCCTTTATCTACTCGACCTAGAGTAGTATCAGAACTGACATCACTCTTGTACTGAGGAAGTTTCACAAATTTCCCTTTGAGAGCTTTGGTAGCTCTACTAGCCAAGACAGATTCCTGCATAAGAGCAATAGCAGATGCTTGCTGTACAGTGTCAGGCAATTGAATAACAACAGCAGCTCGAATTTCTTCAGTAAGACCATTCATAAAATGAGTCACTAACATTTTACCCCCCATAGATGGATCAAACACTCTGATCTGATAGACAAGAGAATCAAATTGTTGTTTATACTCAGTCATTGTACCAGTTTGAGTCAGAGTATCTAGTGCAGACATTTTCTCACGTTCCACAACACACTCAAATTCTGTTGCGACTGCCATTCTAAACTGATCCCAAGAGTTAACCTCATTCACTAACTTATAAGAATGATACCATTGAGCCGCATTTCCCGACATATGCAACACAGCAGCAGAGACTTTGAAATTTTGAGTGATTTGGTACATGTCAAAATAAGTCTCACACATATCCAACCAAATCCGCACATCAGAACCATCGAAACGAGGAAAATCCATTTTAGGAAGTGGCTGATGACGCCGATAAATCCCATCACCAAAACCATGACCCAAATCAACCCCATCCAACACAGGAGGAACAAGTGGATTCAACGGCGGAGGAGTCGCGGAACCACTTGCACTAACCTGCGAGATCCCGAAAGGCGAACCCAAAATCCCGGCCTGATCAGAGCAGCTGGCCACCCGCTTCATCGAACGGGCCAACTCAGCACACTCTTGCTGCACCTTGCCGACGGAATCCATGGCGAGATCCACCTTGGTAGTCACCTTCTCGAGACTGCCACTTTGGGAATCCAGCCGCTGATCAATCTCGTGCATCCACTTTGTGATGCCTTCCAACTTCTCCAAGAGTTTGGACTCCATGGAGTCCATAGCTTGCTTCAAAGGGGCTGAAAGTTTTGTGGGCGCCGTGGCGAATCAGGAAGAATCCAACGCACGGCGACGCCCACAACCTGTCTCTGATACCACTGTAACACTACGCCACCGCGAAACTCACCGCCGACGAGAGAGAGAGATATTTAGACGAGATCGGAGTTGGGGACGAAGAGAAACAGAGCTGAGGCAGAGGAGAGACAGTTTGGAGAGAGATAGATTCGATTTCTTTTTGCCAGGCTGGCCACAGCCATTCTCTCTCTTGAGTATTTATCTCCTGATTACATGGACCGTTGGCCCAAATGATTTAAGGCACGCAGGCCGCATTCTATTTGATAAAGTCTAGCCCAAAACACACACACTATCATTCACAGTTAAACCTCTTTCTCAGTGTCACCATTGCCGGTCATGACACAAAGCTCATGCATGCACAAAGGAGACGCCCAAATTGCCTTGGCCTCAAATGTTTGCCATTTTCTTTAGAAGAGCACAGCAACCAATACTGAAACGCCAACGCCTAGGTTCAACAAAAGACCCGCAAAGAAGAGCGGTTTCAGATTTTTGAACAAACATGCAGTGGTAGAACAAAATCAAAACGATCCAAGATATAATACGAAACGTAGACCAATAGCTACATCACATACAGAGCCAAACAAGAGCAATATCTTTCAGATTAAACAAAGATCTATGGCACCGCGACCCTAGCTATAGGAAACAAGCCCTAACCTTGCAGAATTCCTGGCTTGATCCATGATGATGCGCAGCTCTCCTGTGTGTGCCCAAAAAAACAGAGAGAAGCAGAATCTTACTAATCCTCCAACCTCAAGGCCAGCACTAGCAGTGTTTGCACCTTATCAGACCCTATATATTTAACCTCACTACACCATCTATAACCTGAAAATTCAATTTCACATTAATAGCCCATTAGGTCCAAGTAGTGATTTTGCATAGTTACTGAATTATATTTTGCTGCTGAAAGTTTCCTGGGTATTACACATCTTCTTCTCAGCCTGTTCCTGTTTTCTCCTAACTGAGTCATGCATTTTGCACTTTCTGCTATGGTTATAAACTTACAGTGCCACAGTGCTTTACATTATTACCTTTTGCTCTAGGGCAAGAAGTAGTTTCTTTCAGTCCTAAACAGCAAATATCACAAATGCATCAAATTTTGATTGAACAAATGTCACAGAAGTAACAGTAAATTGTTACGACAGACCATCCTAACAAACTATTATTACTAGTGCAAAATGGAGCTGCACATATATCTCAACAATTAAGTTTCAGACCCAACCGTAGCTATTAAAGCAAAATAAAAAAGTGAATTAAAGCTGATGTTATAACCCTCTGGCTCACTTCACATGAACAGAAACACGATGTTGTAACCAAATAGTAGTACTTAGGGTGAAAATACACTGCAAATGGTATAACCATCTACTGAAATAAGAACAAGTATTGCATGCGGGCCCCATTTCATCGAGCACATATATATCATGCAACATCAAAAATTAGCAAAAACAAAAGGTCAAGGCAACAATACCAGCCAAATCCAATGTCAAAATGTCTGCGTCCGCGGTGGTGTCAATGGCAAAAGCGTGCGACCCAAAGATAGCCCAGAGGCACCAACCCCTGCTGGGATGGCATAAAGAGGACATCACAGTGAGCCAGTTGCCATCATCGCGGAGATGGGAGGAGACCAGATCCAGATGAGTATTCGCACTAGGGAGCGCATCATCGGCGCCCAACTGCAGCCATACAAAAACAACCTTATCGTGCATAGAAACTCTTTTAACTTAGAGAAATATCCACGGGACATGATCAGCATTATATTAAATGGAAACGATGTCAGTAAAATATGATATATTACCTAAATTAGGAGGATGTAGATGAAGGCATAGCAGCTGGTTTTTCAAGCCCAGAACAGCTTATTCCCTCTAACTCTTTCTACTGCAAAGACCATTATCCCCAAGCATTTCCTCTCATATGGAGAACACACAGACACAACACACAGCTGCAAATTTACAAGGGAGGGTAAAGATTGCCATTTATTTATTCCATTAAGATTGAGCCATTTACATAATCTTAGGGGCAACGATTGCATCCATTTAGTTAAGATTGAGCAAGTTACAAAACGTATTGACATCAAGCCTAATAGGGAGGGAGGAAGAAGAAAAAAAAGTAACTGATCAAGCCCTGAAGCCTGATAGGGAGAGGGGAAGAAAACAAATAACTACATGTTCTAGTTGGAGCATGTCTCATGAAGGCAGTGGCCTGGATGGCTGAGCTGAGGCAGTGACTGCTGGGTAAGCTGACCGCCGACAGTGCATCGAATCAACATTCATCTTGTCCTCACCTCTCCACGTTCGTCCTGTTAAGGAAAATAGAATAAAGACACTTAGTTAGGTAAAAAAACAGTAAGGAATTCGCATCATAAAACACAATGTAAGAAAGGGATCAGTGAGAATGAATTAAGTGAATAAGTAAAGATGGAAAAGGGAGTTCGCTCGGATGTGGTGCGAAGTTGAACGACGGCCCAGCAAAGTACGGCACAGATTCCTTCTCCAGCACTGGTGTCTCCATCGCCGGCACCTCCTCCGTCGCCGGTTGCTCCTCCTCTATCCCAGGCTGCTCCTCCATCCCCGACTCCATCTTATCCATCGCCGACAACTCCTGCTCCTCCTCTATCATCAGTTGCTCCTCCATCTCCGGCAACACCTCCTCCTCTATCCCTGGCTGCTCCTCCATCCCCGACTCCATCTTATCCATCGCCGACAACTCCTGCTCCTCCTCTATCATCAGTTGCTCCTCCATCTCCGGCAACACCTCCTCCTCTATCCCTGGCTGCTCCTCCATCCCCGACTCCATCTTATCCATCGCCGACAACTCCTGCTCCTCCTCTATCATCAGTTGCTCCTCCATCTCCGGCAACACCTCCTCCTCTATCCCTGGCTGCTCCTCCATCCCCGACTCCATCTTATCCATCGCCAACGACTCCTGCTCCTCCTCCATCACCAGTTGCTCCTCCTCCATCTCGGGCAACACCTCCTGCTCCCCCTTAGTTGCAGGGGCACCCTGCTCCTCCTCCATTGCCAGAGCTTGCTCCTTAGTTGCAAGTGCATCCTGCTGCTCCTCCATTGCCAGAGCCTCCGGAGGCTCCTCCATCGCCAGATCTTCTTTCGCCTTCTTCTCTGAACGATCAGCTGATGGCGGAGGACTGCTGCACTGCCTCTTGGTGCCGGTGGTCGGTGCCCGCCCGGCGAGCGATGACGGACGGACACCGGACAGCTTATCTCTAATCCAACTTTCGCTCGAGGAGGAAGCATGGCTACTACTGCTGCTGCTAGAGGAAGCGGGACTACTGCCCATCCAATTCGCCCCTTCTCTTGGGCTCGAGAAAGCGCGGACTGAAGTTTGGTCACCATCCAAACCTCGTCGTCGGAGTACCTTGTCCTCAACCCTACTCGAGCTGGTCGAAGCGCGACCCGATCTGCCTCTGCCGCTCCAGAAGCCGTTACTTCCGGAATATACTGGCGGCCGACGAGAATCAGATAGCGGAACTCGGCTCGCCGGAGACGCCGCGAGCTGCGGCCGGAGAGTAGGCGCCCTGTACGCCATGACAGCGGGCGTGAAGAGTGGTGAAGGGAGTGGCGTCAGGGAGAATCGGAAGCCGGAGAAGCTTGATCGGAGGCGGGGAGAGGGAAGGATTCGAGGCGGAGATGGAGACGGCGAGAGAGAAGGATTCGAGGTGGAGGCGGAGACGGGGAAGCGTAAAACCCTAATCGGATTGGGGAAGAGAGAGCGGAACAGAGGAGAATACGGAATCGATAGGTATCCGTATTTGATTTACTGTCGATACGGTCTCCGTATTCGATACGTAGTCGGACTCCGCATTGGATTCGTAGGAATTTTTTTCATTTTTAGATTTTTTTTAAAAATTTTACAGAAATAATCTATCGGCCAAAAAAATTACAAAAATAGACCCTGCCGCCCCAGTGGTGGGCAGCAAGCTGACGTGGCACACGACGTCGGCCAAAATTGCATTTAGCCCCTTGCCGCCCCTTGTCGGCCAAAAGAGCTTGGGGTTCGTACTTTTTGCATTTGGGCCCCTTGCCGCCCCAAGGTACCCGGATGCAAAAAGTATCGCCAAATGATTTTTCTATGTTATGTTAATAATAATTAAAGAAGTATTTATTGGTAAAACTTGTTAATATTGTTATAAAAATGTATTGAAATTGGTTGTTTCGCAATTTCATATATTAAGTAAGGTATTATTTTGTAACTTATTCGATGTATTAGTACTCAGAGAATTGATATAGGCCTATCGCAGTCTCGGTCGTAGAAACATTATATGGACTTAAACAAGGAGAATTATGTAACATGAAGAAATAGTAGTATAATTTGAACATGATACAACTATTTCCATTGCGGTTACATAGATGATATTAGATTTGAACTAGGAGGGAGGTAGTGCAATAGTTGAACACAACGACGATGTAGTAATGGGACAAGGAAGCATGACAGTAGAAATTTCAATATGCCAAGTTGTCCGATAATAGCTAACCCCTACGTGAGGATCCCTCTCCTCTCTCAAACCGCGCTTTAGTAACCATGTATTGCTCTGGTAGTTCAAGCTGCACAACACGGCTAGGTGGAGTTAGAACTCTTCTAGTGTCTATCCATTCTCTGTATTGACATCTCCTTGGTCGTTCCTGGGAGGAAAGAATAGATGTGAAGCGAGCAAAGTTAGTAAATGTTGTGAGAAAATAAGGATTCATGTAATCAAAATATTCTTACCATGAAATCGTCGACAAGAATATTTGGACAAACAAAGAACCTTCGACCCAATGTTGTAGGCTTTATGGAACGAAGAACCTGACAACGATTACCACACCTGCATCTTGGACGGGCTTCCCATGGAGGGAGTGTCGTAGTTAGCACCCACCAGTCGCACTGTTGTTCACGACATTGTCGTTCGTAAGCTGCTTTTCTATGCAAGTATTGCTCAGTACTTTCGGATGCGAAATACCAGCGACCTTCTTTTAAACAAGTGGTTAGGTCGAGAACGGGATTTTCTGTATCGACCCACTCGATGTATGCGCAAGCCGTAGTGCGGGTCTGCCGAATAGAGTAGTGTTACGAAGAATAAAACGATTGCCCATACGGAATGAATAAGCATATGCAGATAATAAAATACCTCACGGTCATAGTTAGGGCACCTAAAAAAGCGCCTTCCTCAAATATCAGGATTCCTCGAAGCCATTAGTTGGCATCGATCACTGCATAGGCAGAGAGGACGCCGGCACCAAGGTGGTAGTAGGTATACATAAGGATCGCTACGCTAGTTCGGATCCTCAACGCCCAGGCGTCTAGCCATTGACGAAAGCCGGTAGGATTTGTAATGAAGCAAGTGGGGAAGAGAGTACTGAATGTGACTGAGTTCTGAAAGATCGTGAGGCCTCGCTCGTTAAGGCGACTTATATAGGCACCAAAAATCGAGTGATATCCCTGACATGTGAACGTGGCGGGGCATGGTGGGTACGCCTGATTGGCGCCGAAAGTTACATTGGTCGTATGCGGCAAATGGCGGGCAAATACTCGTATAGCACGCGAATAAAGGAGGCTGCATCGGTGCGGCAGAAAGTAGTCGTGCATGCGCCGAAAGGTATCGTGCATGCGCCGAAAGGTATCATGCACATATAACAACAACGCATTCATTACACAAGCATACAGTACTAGCATGCGAAGCAAATAAACAAAGAGAAGTCTGCTCTACTGGCCCTGCCCCGCGCCGCGACCACGCTTGGTCCTCCGGGCCTGTGCTCGCATGTGGTCCTGGGAGTAGGTGAAACGATCCGGTGGCACAGCATGGGTAGCACGAGTGTCTGGCGGCGGAGTGGCATGCGCCTGGTCCTGCGTCTGCACCGGCAGTGCGCCTCTTAGCTGTGAGGGGCCGATGACGTCCTCTGTCGAGCCTGAAGCGAAGTCGAAGTCAGTGATGTCGAAGAGCAAGGCGGAAGCCACCAAGTGGTCCGATGAGGTCCCAACATGGTCTAGTGGTGGACCCTGACTCGACGTGCCAGCTGCGTGTGATGAAGTCCCGATGTACTGCCAGAACTGCGCTGAGTGCGAAGTCGACGCAGCTGCCTGAGACGCTGACCCTGCAGCCTGGGAGAAGTGGGCGGCCTGTGTCATAGCGAACTGGGCGAAACCTACACATCGACAACGGGACTCTTGTAAGCTAAGACATAAAATGCATGTAAATTAATTGTCGAAGTACTGTTGTTTTTTTAAGTACCTGTGGGGGGCACAACAGAAGGCCTAGCCAAGAAAGGCGGGGTGCTGAACGGTGCACGAAACCCTGAAGCAATCGGATGAATCGGCTCACATAGATGTGCTAGGCATGTACAAAAAAATCCTTAAAAATACTTACCTTCGTGCGGAGGGGGAGTCGGCCTAGGAACGTGCGCAGTTGGACGGGGACCAGTCGGTACGGGTGGCCGCTGTGGTGCTGCGTCTGCCCGAGCAACGTCGTCTGCACGACAGGTGAGCACTCGGAGAATCGAGCGCATCGACTCCACCATCAGTGTGTACGTCGTCAGGTGCTCCTCTACAGGTATCGGAATCCCCGCGCCTAAACGTTGGATCGTCGTTGAACCGTCAACGACGACCCTGTTGATGTCGATGACCTGCATGGTTAATTTGTTCGTAAATATTCGTAAAATTTGACGAAGAGAAAGGAATAAAACATAAAGGAATGGTGCGATGCAGGGTACTCACAGCACAAGCGAAGTCCTAGTCACGGTGCCTGGCGTAGAGGTCTCTAGTGATCGCAACGTGGGTCTGCTGCTCCAAGGGAGCGAAGGTGACCCTAGTACGGGTGCGTGGCTGGTACCAGCGTAGGTAGGCCTGGTACGCCTCCTCGGTGTGTGGCTCTCCCTCGTGCTCCACGACCTCCTTGGTTGCGAGCAACCAGTTCTCAACAAAAGTCCCCAACTTGGCGGGCTAGTCGCCAGCTGACTGCTGACCCTTGTGCGAGTACCTGCGAATTAATGTATCATATTAGTGTGAATCAACAGATGTTGCAAATTATTGTGGAGAGGTAGATTTTAATGCAACAAATCAAAGCGTAGTGAAAGATCTTACCGGTGAACAGCAGCTGGGACGGTCGTCGGAAACGGTACTGGAAAAGGTTGACGGAAGCCAAACTGCCGCATCACGTGGAAAGGGGCGTGAGGCTCAACATAGATATCGAAGACCATCGGAACCGTAGTCGTCCAGTACGCGTGGTCCCTTGTGCAGAGTGTGGACAGACCCAACGGCGCACGAGCCTGGGTAGCCGCGGCACTGTAGGGCTCCCACACGACGTCAGTCGGCAGAAGGCGGTCGAACTCCATAACGAACTCAGGATACGACCGCCTAACCTGGACGTGAGCCCATCGGCGCTGCAATACGAGATGATCGATGTGATGTACAATGAACTTAGCAATGAACTTAACAATAAGAGAAGATCGATGCAACGTACCTGACGACGGCACCACAGAGTACCCATCGTAGGGTAGTCGACCTCCGGTCGCTCCGCGTACAGTGACTCCTCGTACGCATGCTGGTCCACCTCAGGGTGGCCGATCGTAATCCTCTCAGCTGCCCAGATAGAAAGAAAGAGAGGGCACCCACCAAAGGTCGTGCTGGGATCCGACTTCGTGCAAGCCTCACAAAGGCCACGGTACTGAGCCACCAACAACGCGGAACCCTAGCTCCACTGAGGCACCTCGCCTACCACGGCGTCGGCGATGCTCCTGGCGTAGTGCACGAGTCCCTTGTCGAACGCGTGCCCGTGACCGCCACAGAACATCACCCAGCCAAAAAGTAAGAGCAAGTACGCCTCCAAACAACGGCTGTAGGAGTACTCGTCGGCCTCCGCCTGTAGCTGCTCGACCTGTAAGCGTTCGATAAAATGTTAGGCACCTTACCTTACGACTAAATATGTAGTACGCTTGTCATTTCGGTACAAAAACACTCACGATGAACTGAAGTAGCCACCTCTTCGTAGGTCCGGTGTTGCGGTGGTGTGCCAACGGCTGGAGTGGGAGATGTGGTGCGCGATGTACTGGTGTGAAACGTGCCGTCAGATCATCCTTCCAGTCCACACCCGTGGTCACTGGCCCAACAGCGTCTCCCGCGAGCGGTAGCCCCAACAAGTACGATACGTCCTGTAGGGTAGGGGCTACCTCACCGCATGGCAAGTGAAAAGTGTGCGTCTCTGGCCTCCATCGGTCGACCAAAGCTGCTAGGAGGGACCGGTCCACATTCCAGCGTTTGGCCGGGTCCGCGTGGCCGGCTGCAGCCTCCACCAGCCGACACATCGGTAGGAGGCCGGCCTCACGCAACCTGCAAGAACAAATTAATATGTCATTATAAAAATTAGGTGTATCATGACGTGCTATCTCTGAAAAATATAGTGTTTTATGTTAGAACAATTCAAAAAGTAGTAATGTAGAACAAAAGATAACTTGTAAAATTATGAAAAAGTAATAAAATCATAAGAATTATTATGTACAACAAGAGTACAGGCTATTTAAATATAGCAAATGTTACTAAGGGTACATAACGATGACGTGCAATTTAACATATATGTAGAGTTCGATAATATAACATAAAATAACATAACATTACATGCCGAAGTCCGACATTACATCAGCATACCTAAAGACATTAGGTGCCTAAGTCTGACGTTACATCACGAGACCTAAATACATGACATGCCGAAGTCTGACATTACACGACGAAACATAAACACATCGGTAAGTTCGAAACAAATTACAAGCAAAGCCACATG